AGGTGTTGGAGGGGGGGCGAGGCGGGGGGGGGGGGTTGTGAGACGCACAGAGGCCTTTGGGGCCATGCAGAACACCCCTGAGCCAGGGGAAAAAACAGCTTCATATGGGCAACCTGGCTGTTAGATTGTGTCTGAAGGCTAAATGCTGCCCTGAAGGACACGCCTGGCTGTGGTGTTAGCCCTCTCGTGTGGGGAAACCAGGACAGTGGCTCACAGGCTGTGATAGATGCACATTACAATGGCTCCTTGTCATAAGATATTAACATACCTGTGTGAGTGCAGAGAACCACAGTGCTGTCAGCACACAAAGCTAACTCCCATCTGAACCCTAATTCTGTCTGTAACCCCAAAGAGACTTGGGTCCCTCAGGGCATGCCTATACAGCAATTAAAACCTCATAGCTGGCCTGTGGGGTTCGGGGTGCATGGCTGCTTAACTATGGTGTAGATGTTTTGGCTCAGTCTGTGGCCCAAGCCCTCGGATCCTACAAGGTGGTATCTAGATCCCATCTACACCACAATTAAACAGCGCAAGACCAAGTCTGGTGCACGGGCCAGCTGGGGGTTTCTAATGGTAGTGTAGACATATCCTTGGTGTCATACAGCACTCTATAGGCATGTTCACATTGTTATTCCTCAGGGATTATCCATCTGGGGAAAGCTTCTATGCACCTGATATCCTGTTACGGGGCTCATTAGTTAATTGTCATAAATATATTAATTAATTAATTAATTAATTCTCAGGACATTTATCTTCAGTTCACTTCACAAACATGTAACTAATCTAGCTACACACACACACACGTGTGCGCTCACAAACACACACACACACACACACCCCTTTGGATGTTTTATTTAGGGGGCTTACGTGACCCTTAAAGGCCTTATTTGTTATTCAAGAGTGCCGAGGGCTTACAGCACCTCTTGAATTCTTTGGGAGATGCAGATGCTCTGTACTTCTCAAAACTGGGCCATATAAGGCAGGTGGATGGACCCCCAGAAATTCAAAATTTTGGATATTTTTGAAACAACTGAAGTCTAAGAGCCACATTTTTAAAGGTATGAAGGCACCTGACTCCCATTAAGTGCCTCAATATCTTAATCTGGGCCCAAGTGACTTGACAGAAGTCATACAGTGACTCAGTAGCAGAGCCCAGAAGAGAAACCAGGGGTATGTCTAGACTACAGGCCTCTGGCGACAGAGGCATGTAAATTAGGCTACCCGACATAGTCAATGAAGCCTGTAAACCTCGTTTCACGAGGCATAAGTGGAGCGGTCAACAAAGACGTTTCCTGTCGACCAATCCACGTCTTGACTGCCACACTGTGCCAACGATCAGCTGAGCCAGCACAGTGTGGCAGCCATTTTTATTTTAATGAAGCCAGGGATATTTAAATCCCGACTTCATTGACTATGTTGGGTAGTCTAATTTACATGCCTCTGGCAACAGAGGCATGTAGTCTAGACATACCCCAGGTGTCCTGACTCATAAGTCCTGTTCTCCATTTACTGGACCATGCACCTTCTCCCATTCATTCATTTTATGACAGGTGCACAGCAAGGCATTGCTTCAAAGGGACTGTGCCATCCAAATGTGTTGGGTTTTAGTTACTAGGATTGTGCCTGACCAGGGACACCATGAGAATCTGTATTTCAATAGCTAATTTCCTGTTTCTCCTCCCAGGTCCAGTGCTATAATCCTGAGGAGAACAAATGGACGTTCCTGTCTCCTGCCCCCTTCTATCAGAGGTGTATTAATGCTGTCTCCCTGGACAATATGATTTATGTGGTGGGTGGACTCCTGAGTAAAATCTTCAGCTATGATCCCAGGAAAGACACCTGGAGAGAAGTGGCCACTCTCCCAGGACCTCTGGTAAGGAGAAATTTCAACAAGAGGCTCCGATTATCACCTCGTTTTCTAGAATATCCTCTGTGAACACAAGAATCTTTCAAAAAAATTAAAGGCAAGGTGCTAAGAGTGCTGACCATAATCCAGTAAAGCACTTGAGCACATGCTTAAATTCAAGCATGTAAATAGTCACTGTTCCATACCAGAGCTGGTTGAATTTTTTTTTGGCAATGCATATTTTTAAAATGAAAAATGTCTTTTTCATCTAGAATGATAATTTTCATGCTGGTCAACATTTTGAGTTGTTTTCTGATTTTTTTCAATGGGGAGGAAAGGAAACTGAATTTTGTTTTTGATAAAATGTAGGGCTGTCAAGTGATGTAAAAAGAGGTAGTGGTCAGCATGGGTTCATGTCTTCTGAACTGGTAGTCAAAGCATGAAGGGGAATACAAATGTTTAGTATAGCTGGCAAGTAAATACCTTGCAATGATGGCTATAAAAGTGCCATGCAAACACCTGTTCTCCCTTTCAGGTGACACTGTAAATAAGACGTGGGCATCTGTGTCCCCCGTAAATTCAAACAAACTAGTTTGTCTTAGCAATTGTCTGAACAGGAAGTAGGACTGGATGGACTTATAGCTGTAAAGTTTAACATTGTTTTGTTTTAGAGTACAGTTATGTAACAAAAAATTACATTTCTAAGCTGCACTTTCATGATAAAAAGATTTCACTACAGTACTTGTATAAGGTAAATTAAAAAGTACTTTTTGTTCATCATTTTTACATTGCAAATATTTGTAATAAAAATAGCAATATAAAGTGAGCACTGCACACTTTATATTCTGTGTTGTAGTTGAAACCAAAATATTTGAAAATGTAGAAGAACATCCAAAAATGTAATATATTTTAACTGATATTCTATTGTTTAACAGTGCATTTGAAACAGCAATTTTAAATATAATTATTAATTTTTTTTAGTCAATCATGTGAGTTAACTGCGATTAAATGACAACCCTGGTAAAATTAAATGGATTGTGGTGAAAAAAGGGGGGTTTTGAAAAGACAAAAATTCAGATTTATGTTTTGCTTATGAAAAAAAGAGAAACCTGAACATTTTTCATTTAAAATAAAAAAAGTCATATTTCTTATTGAAAATTTGGTAAGAAATGTAAAAATATGTATTTCTGTTAAACAAATAAAACCCCGTTGACCTTTTTAAATCCGCTCTACTCAGCAGCTTGCATGATTAAACAGCAAGTGCCATGAATTTCACTGATAGTCTGCCTTATTGTGCCACTTTTTGTGAGCATTTGCTAATTTGGAGAGTCACAATATAGAATAGCAAAGATCACATCACTAGGTTCAGGCAGGGATCTCCTGTGTTTGCTGTCTAGACATCTGTAAAAATCCATAAGCATCATCCAGAAATGGCCCTCTTGATCCCATGGGGCTCACAACATCCAGGCCCTAGACACCTTGTGTTCTGTTTATTCTTCTTCTCGCAGTAGAGGCATCATCTCTCAGATAGATAGGACAGAGAGGAGTCAGTTGACACTAGCACATGATCCACTCTTTGCTCCATGTTCAACCTCCTTTTTGAGCCCTGTAACCCTGAAGCTGCAAGAGATGCCCTCACTTTCCCTCTTTTCCTCCGTGCTGCCTACAGGAGAGCTGCGGGGTGACTGTGTGCGGCGGGAAGATCTACATCCTGGGCGGCCGGGATGAGAACGGGGAAGGCACGGACAAAGCTTTCACCTTTGACCCAGTGACGGGGCACGTGACTCAGCAGCCCCCTCTGCAACGCTGTACTAGTTACCACGGTTGTGTTACCATTCTCCAGCGTGTGAGCAGATGACCCTGCCACTTCTTTCTCCTGTCCAGGAAGAATAGCCCTGGAGAAGGCAGCTACCCTCCGTGCCAAAAAAAATGACCCTTTATCTTGTTCATTACTGATCTGTGCCAGTCTATGTGGAAGAGCAGGGCCAAGTGACCAAAGCAGGCATGGTATGAGGTATTTTGTGTTTGCAGCCATGATTGCTTTCATTGTTTTGGGGGCAGTGAATGCTGCATTATGCTGGGGCTTAAAGGGGGTGGCGAGTGTGTAACATTCAGGGCAGAGAACACTGAACTAAGACCATGCCCTCAAGTAAGTCTCAAGTAAAACTTATCAGTTTCAAGTGTCTGAAAGGTACCTGATCCTGTTGAATGACTTTTAATTAGCTTTGGCCTATCAGGTCTCTGCTTAAGACCAGAAAGGTTTTACCAAAGTTACCCAGTTAATTAATTTGTAGCATTCTGCTACGAAGACCTTTTACATCTGCACTTGAAAGGGAATCCTCTGAACTGTCATTCATGTTAAAATTCGACACTTTCCAAAAAGGACTCAACAAACATTTGAACTATCTCACCCATTACCAAGATAGTTTCCCCAATTATCACCTCTAATACCATTAACTCACAAACATCCCACTCTCCCTACCTCTAATATCATCAATTCACAGACACTTACCTTCCTTCCTTCCCCCCCTGCATCCCCCTCCTGTTCTGCAATGTAATTTGTCCTTTTCATATTTATTCATTTTTTTTAATTGTATCCTTTGGTATATATGGTTGTGACTACTTTCTTCCACTATTTGATCTGAGGAAGTGGGTCTGGCCCACGAAAGCTCATCATCTAATAAACCATCTTGTTAGTCTTTAAAGTGCTACATTGTCCTGCATTTTGCTCCAGTTAATTACAGTGGGAGATCTTGAATCCTGCAGACGTCTGCACTTGGAACCCATCAGTAAGGTTCAGATTCTGTCATGGGTATTTTTAGTAAAAGTCAGGGGCAGGCCAATAAACAAAAATCCACGGAAGCCTGCAACTTTTCTCTGACTCTTACTAAAAATATTCTGGTTAGGGGGGTGGGACAAAAAGAGGGCTGACCAGAAACATCCGTGGTCCAGCACAATTTCAGTTAGCCGGATGTCCACTTACCAAGGGTATGACCAAGTTTCCCACAGTCCCATAAAATCTGTTTACAGCCACCAGTCCTGGCTCTCAGTGTTCTGTGTTGTTATTTAGCCCTAATTTACCCCTAAATGTCTTCTAAGAGGCCACTAAGCAGTGGAAGTGTTGGTAATGCTGCTAGACAATATCGACCTGCCATGGTCCAGCAAATTATCTGGCTTGGCACCAGTCAGGTCCCGTGGCTGGCAGACTAGAATGACTCAATCTGCTTTAGAGCCTTCTTAGGAATTTGCCTGCAAGACCTTTTGTGTTTTGATGCATGCAAAGAGTCCTCCTATCGAGACTCATGCTGAATGCACCACATCCTGCCTCACCCTGGCACATCCTGCCTCACCCTGGCACAACAAAATCCATTCTATGAAAAGGGAAGATTCTAAACGAGGTCTCACCAGTGCCTTGTAAAGAAAACCTCATTCCTCACTTTGGTTCTCCTCCCTCACTTGTGTTCTGCAAGTTCCTCACTGTACTGCCACCCTTCAGCTCAGTAGAAACTCACGCAAGGAAGGGTTGCTTTTGTGTGAAACATTGAACGTGACATCATTTTCCACCTCCTCCCCTAATGGCTTGTTTCATGAGTGTCGTGGTGCTGTAGATGTAACTTGGTGGTGGAGTTGAAGCCATAGGTGCTAAAGTAAAATGTTCTCTGTCTGATATTGGTGCATATTGTTGTACAAGAGAAACTTGCCTGTATTTTGTAATGCTGTGAGCACTGCCAATGCTGCCATTTTTTAAACTTCTTTCCTTTTTTAGAAATAAATGTTTGCAATAACTTTTAGTTCTCCTGGAAGGTGTTTTCGGCTATTTTCCTGCCCTTGGGACCATCACCGTGTTGAAGTTCAAGAACATAATATATTGGTGGAGTGGCAGATGAGTGTGTTTTGGGTAGTAACATTCCCTAGAATGGCAAAGAGACTTCAAAGCCAGATTCTGATCTGATAAGAGTTAGAATCCAGCCCCAGAGGAGATGTCTACGCTGCATTTGGAAGCCAGTCTGCCACCCTGGTCCATAAGGGGCTTTTAAAAATAACTGTGCAGTTGCTGTGATGGGCTCTTAAACGGAGGAGGTAGGGAGGGTGCTGGGAGGCTGTTTCCTAGAGTCCAACTCTTCTCAATGCCTTTCTAGCTCTGATAGAGCCTCGGTGTAGGGGATCGACCTCTGTCTGTATAGGGGTTCACCCCTCCCTCCACCCAAAAGAGTCCTCCACTCTCAAATTCCTCCTTTATTGGCTGTGCAAGGGCACTGCTTGCTGCCCGAATCCCGACTCTGCTCCCCACACTCGGGGTGGGGTCGTGAGGGGGACCTGGGCCCGACCTCCCTCCAGATTCCAATCCAGGGCCCTAAGAATGGAGAATCTCCTTCTCCGTTCAACTGGTGGGGCTACTTGCCGATCCTTCTGCCCACCCTGGGTTTCCTCCCCACTGCCTCCTCCCCCAAAGGGTCCTCACCTCTCGGCCTCGTTATTCCCGGCTCACGACTCCTGCTCTCGCCACCATCATGGCGCCTCCCTCTCCCATACACGCTACCTCTCCCTGTTCCAGCTGTGCCCTTTTTACCTGCTGGCCCACCCCCTCCTGGCTCCACCCCTTCAGGACATCTCCCGCCACCTGGGGCAGGTCCCTGTGCTCTTGTATGGCCGGCCCTTGCCCATTCGCTTGCGCCAGCATCCTCCCTTTGGCCCCGTCCACCGAGCGCCCACCACCATTCCCCTCACTTCCCACTGTGTGTCGGCTCGTCCTGCCCAGAGTCTCCGCTCTCGATATGCTCCGGGTAGGGTGCTCCTGCCCCACTTCAGCTGCCGTGCTTTCCCTTTCCCCTCGGGAGCAGCCCAGCACCACGCCAACTCTGCCCCCCAGGGTCTCTTCTCTGCCCCAAAAGTGTGGGGTTCCTGCAGCCCGTCACACTCTGTCACTGATCACAAGTGATGGGGAGTGCTGGCAGGAGCATCTATGTTCTTGGTAAGTAATTACCTGCAATGCCCCTCCCACCACAATGCTCTACAAGCTGTTGTGGCTGTGAGATGTTAGTTGGCGCTCCTGCTTTGTTCCAGCTCATCTAGAGCCAGAACTCTGGTGCTGAGTGTCTTGCTGGGGGATAGTTAGAACCCTGGGGATGCCTTACTACTCTGCTCAAAAGAGGGTGTTACTTTGCTCTAAATCTCAGAACCCTCTTTCTAGGACCTAACATGGGGGAAGGAATAGCCCCCCACTCTGCCCTTCAAGCTGAAGGAAACATCCCCCTTCTTGACTAGTGAGGACTGGCCTTGCCAAGCAGAGGAAACACCAAGAGCTAGGAATTTTTGGTTCTCCCAGCCTTTTCTGCTGGAGGGTGAGCAGCAGCATGTCATAGCAGAGGAGGAGATGACTTAGCAGTTTTCAGGTACATAAAAGGTAGTTACATGGAGGAGGGAGAAAACTGGACCAAATCAGATTAGCAGGGACAATTTAGATAGAAAAATGTGAAAATTAGAGTTCTTAAAGAAGAGATGACCAAGAGCCATGATTTCGCAATCTAGAAATAGGATTTTGCTTTTGCTAAAATCTGTTGCTGATTCAGTAATGAAGTGGTGGCAGCAATTACAAATAAAAAAAAGCAATATGTACAAACATTGAGAAAGGGGGAATAGAAAGTGATATAAATTAAAAATTGTGAAGTGCAGAAAATTGATAAGGGAAGCTAAAGACATCAGGGAAAAACTGAAAGCTTGGCAGAGTGAAGGATAGTACTAAGTAGTATATTGGGAACAAAAAAATCTTAGGAATGGTTGAGACTCATGACTATACAGAGATAGCAGAACTGTTGTTAATGATGCGGAAAAGGCTGAAGTGTGCTGTAAAAAAATATTTTTGGTATTTGCAAAGCTACAAAATGATGCACTTGTAATAGATGAGGATGATGAAGTACTTTCCAGTCCATTAGTAATCAAGGAAGATGTTAAATATCTACATTTTAAAACCTGCAGGGGTGGATAATGTGCAAGATTTATGAAAGATTTCTGAAAGAGCTTGCACAGGAGATCTCTGTGTTTTATAAATTTTGGAATACTGGCTAAATTCTGGAAAACTGGAAGCATGTCAAACCTGTAGCTAAAGGCTGGACAGACATCAGTCCTGGGCAAAATACCGTATTTTCCGGCGTATAAGGCAACTGGGCGTATAAGACGACCCCCTAATTTTCTAGTTAAAAGGCTCTGGCAAAGCCTCAGAGGCGCGGGACCCTGCCGCTGCTGCGGCTTTGCTCCCCGTGTCCCTGGTCTGCTGGGGGGGGCACAGCTAGTGCTGGGGGGGGGGACAGCTAGTGCTTCTGGCTTTGCTCCGCGTCTTCCTGGTCTGCAGACCAGGGAAAGGCAGAGCAGCTTTTCTCGCCCCAGAGTACACGGGCGGCGGGACCGCGAGGTCCCGCAGTCTGTGTCCTCCGGGGCGAGAAAAGCCCCGGCGTATAAGATGACCCCCGATTTTTGGGGGATGTTTTTTAGCATAAAAAGTCGTCTTATACGCCGGAAAATACGGTAATAGAAAAACTGATACAGAGTTTAACTGTTAAAGGATTAAAGGTTAGGAAAAATAATTAGTGCTGGTCAACATGGTTTTATGGAAAGTAGGTCTTGCAAGCTCATCAGAGAATGATATCAGGTTGTTTGGCACGATTGGGTGATAAAGGTAACTGTACAGATTCAATCTGCTGTGCAGGCAGCGCTCTGCTTTCACAGAAGTGGTGGGGTCAGCCCTGTACCAGGCTCAGCCTGTGCTGTGCTTTTAATCTGTGAGCTCACACTGTGAATGAATGCACAGCCTGATGTCAATGCTTGGAAATCATATTAGGCCTCTCACTTCCCCACACCTCCCATTCTATCTTCTGCCATCTATTCCCTTGTCATCTTAACCTTGGTCCCCTCATTGTGCCTTGGGCCTTTTCTGGCTGGCTGCTTGTGATGCTTTAGCTAGTCCAAGATGAACTAAACGGAGGCTTTGTTTACACTTAAAAGTTTAAACTGCAGCCGCGGCAGTGCTTTAGTGAAAGTGTGGTCACAGCACGAGCGCCGTGCGTGAGCTTTCCCAAAGCTCTATGTAAACCAGCTTCATGAGGGGGGTAGCTAACAGCCTGGCTCCCACTGCCATAGCCTGGTTCACAGTGGTGCTATACAGCGCTGTAATGCTGCGCTCGGGGTGGGAGTGGAGGATTTTTTTTTTCCACACTCCAGAAAGTTGCAGTGCTTTTGTAAAGTGCCAGGGTGGACTTGGCCTAATTGTTTGCTCTGCATCATGAGGTTTTGGCCATGCCTATTCCCTAGGTCATTCATTTCACATGCACACACATCATTTCTCAGATCAGTCCGTCTTATTGGCACATAGATCGGTTTGAAAGCATCAAGCTAAAGAGCTTCTAATCTCCAGTGCAGAGGCACCAGGGAGTCACCAGGCTCAGATACCCCCACCAGACGTCACTTTTTGCATAGGTGACCCAGCTGGAGCAAGCTGATAGTGTAGCAGCTAAAAGAGCACTGCACAGCGATTAGGGACCCAGCTGAGGAGACAGGCTGGCACTGATTACCAGAGATTAAGGGTCACAATGGCCATCTGAGAGCCGCTGGGAAGAGATAATAGCACACTCGGGGATTGTCTTTCCTAGTGCTAAATGAATCTGCCAAATAATGAATTCAGAAATGTTTCACTTTTATTACAAGGATGACTTGGTTTTCCACATTGTGGACCAGAAGGTTAATTTATGAAACAATGGCTGTCCACAGAACCAGATGTCTCATTCAGATACCGGTGCGAAAGCGTGTTGGAGTGTGACAGCAGATCTGAGGTACAGTATTGTTATTTTCTGTTTATAGTAGAGTTTGGAGGCCCAGTGCGGTAGGCAGTGTAAAAATACATACCCAGTCATGCTCATGCCCCAAGAATCTTCCAAACTGAGGAACAATGAAAGGAAGTATAGGTTGGACCTCTCTGGTCCAGCACCCGCAGGACCTGACTAGTCCTGGATGAGGGACTTTGCTAGAACAGGGGAGGTCATTTCTGGTCCTGCTGCTGCTGGCACCACCCCCTGCCCTGCCCCGCCCTGAACCAGTTTTCCCGGCTCCTGTCCGCAACCCAGCTGAGCCTCTGCACACCCTCCCCCACTGCAGCCCCGTTGAGCCACATGCTGGCCCCACAGCCCAGCTCAGCTGTACACATGCCTCACAGCCCAGCAGGGTTGTATGTCTCCCCCATCATGTTGGGCTCCTGGCCTCCCACATCTGCAGCATGCTGGGACTCTGATGCTGGAACTTCTGAACCACAGATGTTGCTAGACCAGAGAGTTCAGGTTTTTAGAGATGCAACCTGCATTCTAATCATCCCCACAGGCGTGTGTGTGTGTGAGAGAGAGGATTCCTCAACACAAATTCTTGGAGACCATAGGGCAGTACTTAGGCCAGGGGTGGGGAAACTTTATTGGGTCGGAGGCCGCTGACCCACAGAAAAGTCAGTCGGGGGCCACACACGAGTGAGAAGTGGGGGAAAAAACCCCTCACTGTGACCTCCCCACTGTGAAACCCCCCACATTCTCGTCACACACCAGAGCCTCTGGGGGCCCAGCCTAGTAGATTTTCTGTATTCCAGCCCCGGGGGAATAGTCGGGGGGCTGGAGCCCCAGCGTGGGCTCCCCAGAGCTGACAGGGGGTCTGAGCTTCAGGGGCCGGATCCAGGCAAGCTGAAGGCTACATCCAGCCCCTCGGCCTGAGGTTCCCCACCCCAACCTAGGTGAAAGCTCTGTGGCCTGTGTCATATAGGAGGTCAGACTAGATCAGGGGTTCTCACAGTGGGGGTTGTGATCCCTCGGGGAGCTACAAGGTTAGTACATGGACGGGGTCATGAGCAGTCGGTCCCACCATGAAAGCCCCACTTTGCCTCCAGCATTTACAATAATGGTACATATAGAAAAGCGTTTTTAATGTATAAGGGGGGTTGCTGTATGTAAAGGAGGAAGGAAAAGGCAAAATGTGGGACAGGTAACAAAATGGTGGGAACTGTTTACACGAAGGGCACAATTTATGACTAGGATTGGAAGGAACCTCCTGGGTCACTGATTCCAGACCTTGCCACACTTTATTATAGGATCCAGTTGGTTCTCTTCGTTGTATTTACCTGGCCCCCATCAGCCCAGTATCAGAGCACCTCTCAGGCTTTCATGTGTTTATCCTCACTACAGCACGGTGAGGCAGGGCAGCGCTGTAATTCACACTGTACAGATGGGGAACTGAGGCACAGAGAGATTGGGGGGGGTCATGTCACACTCAGCCCACACTGACTCAGGTTGGAGCACAAGCCTCCCTTCTGTCCACACACAAATCAGTCTGATGCAGGTTAGGAAGCCCTCCGGACCTGACTCTAGAACCCTGCGGGGGAGGTGGGTAAGCAACCATGTCCCAGTGAGACTCTGGAGAAGCCCTGTCATTGGGGTGCAGCCCCAAGTAAGAAGGTCTGCACAATGCCAGGTGGATGCATTGCTCCAGGTTACAATGCTGTGTAGTGCTCACAAGCAAAGACTTGGAACACCATGTCCACAAACCTGGGTTCCTCAGACCCACACGTACTGGGCAGTGCGGCTATATCCAAACAAAGCGACTTGCCCAAGGCCTTACTGGGATGCTAGAGCAGGGAATTGGACCCAGATGTCCAGCTAGTGCCCAAGCTACTGGGCCATCCTTTAGCTTTAACTATACTTCAACTACCTATAATGGCCGCAGCTAAGGCCCTCACAGCCACCCGGCACACCTGCTGCTCATACCTGCGTCATGCTTACAACAGCTCAGTCTTTTATTAACCCTTTATAAAATACTAGCACATTTACCCGGTGTTGCCCAGGTCATTAAGGAGGGGCTTAGGGCAGGGGTCAGGAGGGTGGAAGTTTAGGAGTCAGGGCAGGAGGTTGGGGATGTGAGGGGCTCAGAGCATGGAATGGGGGTGCAGAAGTCAGGGCAGAGGGTGGAGGCTCAGAGTAGGGGGTGAGGGGTACAGGAGTCAGAGAAGAAAGTTGGGAGGTGTGTGGGGGTTCAGGGCAGGGAATGGGGGCTGCAAGAGCCTGGCCAATCCTCAGGGCTGGCTAGGGCAAGAGGGGGCCATGCTGCTTGGCTGGAGGCTCCCCAGGGCTGGCTAGGGCACCGGGGTCCACACTACCCAGCCAGCAGCTGTCTAGCATGGGAACCTTACTCATATACTCTGGCTGGCAACATCTTACCAGAGTGCCCACCCCCATGTGGTCATTCTGCAGTATACCTATGCCTGCCCACAGAGTCCTCTCTTTGCATTTTATGAGAAAAATTCATATTCCAGGCATAACCAAACCCCGACCTTGCTTTAAGTTATGATAAAAGGAAGCTGCGTACCAAATGTGGTGGTTCCAGCTCTTACCGGTTAGGAGGAATTCTTGAACAGACGGACACACAGACAGAGAGACGCCCAAACTTGATCAAATATATAGTAGACCAGTTGACTCTTGTGACCAAAATATTTATAGCAAAAGAGAAACCTCTCCACTCCATTCTTGGTAAGCCTCGACAAAAACTGCAAGCTGCACTTTTGTCTAATAGTTCTCAAATTCTTCTTGTTTAGTTGACTGGCGCAGTTGTGTCTGCTGAGGAGTGTATTCTTAAAAACTCAAGTGCACCCAGAGTGTTGGTTGGCTGCTTTTCTATTGCATTTGTTTATTACATTAATAAACCACAGCCACACTGGTAATATTATTTTGTGAAATGGAAACAGTTTCTCCCCACCCCCAAGGTACAAAATGCATCTGTTTATAATCTAAACTCCAATGAATACATTAAATTATACAACTAACACCTCCCCCTCCCCACCACTTCCTAGCATTGCCATGCTGGAGCTGTGCAGCTGGTTTTAAAATGGGAAGAGGCCATCATGCTTCCAGGTAAGGTGGTGAGATAGGACCTCTATGATCATATTGATCTCCTGGTCTCTAAATAATAGCAGAAGGGAGTCCGCTATGAAATAGGGGTTGACAAAATAGGTGTATAATAGAGCCAGAGCTGTGCCAATTCCCAAGCAGGGCACTAATATCAATAAAAACCTTCCAAGATTCAAAAGCCAATGGGGGAGCTTGCTCATCTCAGACTGGCTCAGTGATTGCTCCACAAGCTTGGCATCAACTCTTTCCAGCAGTACCAAACCAGCCTGGACCCCGTCCTTGTTTTCCAGCCTCTGCAGTGCTGCCTGCTGCATTGACGTTTCCAGTTGTCCTCTCAGCTGTATTATGTCCTTCCTCTGACGCTCCCTGATCTGGAGAAGCTCCGCCAATGTCTCTCTTAACTGGGAGGAACGGTGCTTTTCCACGTCATGTTGCTGCTCTGCAGCTTCCAGTTTGCCCTCTAGGTGTTTCACGTAGCCCTTGATTTCTTGTGGTAGGTCTTTTGTCTCGAATAAGTCTCTTCCTGGAGGAAATGCATGGTCTTCATAGGCAGAAATCTGGCAAGAAATTTCATAGGTTTCCAAGGCTAGTTGCTTGTTGTTTCTGTCCAAATTCTTGTTTTCTAATTCCAGTTGTTTTATCTTCCCTTCTCTCTGTTCCAAGATCGCTCTGAGACTCTCCACCTCTTTCTGTAGCTCTTCCACCATAAGCTTAACAGACTCTGTCTTGGTTTGCAAGCCCCTGTTCAGGGCTTCAGTATCTTTTTTTCCTTTTATTAGCTCCTGGTTTTCTGCATCAAGGTTGGCAATCGTATCTCTGAGGTCCCATATTTCATTTCGCAAACGTTCATTTGCACTCCTCAGATCCTGCACGGACATTTACTGAGTGTGATGGGCTCTGTCTGAGGGGTGGGGAAAGGGTGGAAGGCTCTGTAGATGAAATGGTCAAATTCTGTGGAAGAAAATAAAATATGCTCTGCTATGTTGTGTTTATGGGTTATGCTGACATATGATATTTTACTCTGAATTGCTTTATTTCATAGAAGAAATATAAAACAGCCAAAGAAAATAAAATTGGGGGATTTCTCTGGCCCTATTTTAGGTCAGCAGATGCCAGGTACACATTCTTTAGCACATGTCCATTTGTCAAAGTATGATGAGTATTTTCACAAGTAGGGATTAATACTTGGTTGTACATAGAACCCTGGCCTATGTAGTGTGGGCAGTTGGGCAATCGCCCAGGAGAGATTCAAATGCCACCCAGATGATTAGCAGAGTACCCACAGTGCTCTGTGTTTCTACTGATGGTGCACATCATCGGTGCACATAACAATATTTATTCTGCACATGGATGAAAAAAAATTAGAGGGAATACTGGGTGTGGCACTTTCTCTAGGGGCACCAGAATGGGTGGAGGGAGTCAGAGGGCCATGGGGCGAATGACAGGGGGAGGAAGCAGAAAGGAATGAGTGGGTAGAGTCTTGGAGGAGAGGCAATGCGGAGACAGAGCCTTGGGGGGATATAGGAATAGGGGTGTCTGTCACGCCCTGACTTTTAGGACACTTCTGCTTCTCCTGTCTTTGTTCTCTATAGTGGAGAGGACTACATATAGGTGTGAACCTGCTCAGAGACTTTCTGCCGCACAGCCTTTATTCAGGCAATAATGCTTTGTGCTCTTAGCTCTAGAGGCCATAGAACTCCATGGTGGGATTTGAGCTGCAGTGGGACTCCAAAGCTTAGGATGATCTTCCCAGCCAACGAGCATACATATCCTGCAAATACACAAACATTATCCAGCATTGGTAGTGACAGATGGCAGAACAAGGAGCAATGGTCTCAAGTTGCAGGGGGCAGGTCTAGGTTGGATATTAGGAAAAACTGTTTCACTAGGAGGGTGGTGAAGTATTGGAACGGGTTACCTAAGGAGGTGGTGGAATCTCCATCCCTAGAGGTCCCGGCCCGACCACACTGCCTTCTTGTACAAGAAGGGCTTATTCCTCATGGGGACTTGTGCAAGAAGCCCTCTGTTCCTATACTTTACTGTAAATTTACTTGCTCAAGAATGCATGTGCAGTGCAGATGTTCCACAAGTTTTTGCGCAACAATGACCGTTCTTGTGCAAAAAGCCTGCAGTGTAGACGTAGCCTCCATGCTTGTATAAAATGCTGCTGATTTGAAAATGGAAACACTTCCCGCTTCTCCGTAAGACTGGACATGCCTTGTCCACCAAGATCCTCAAATTTTTCATTCTCATGATGAACAGCCCAGGTGACCATTGATTTCAACAGGCTGTGGCTCAGGAGCCATTGGGCAGCCGCAGGTGCTGTAGGTTTACTCTGTGTGATGGGGAGCCAGAGGAAGCTCAATATATATCTTTGCACAGGGCCTGGAAAACATGGCCTCCATCCAGGCTGTCAGTCTATGTTCTAACCACTAGACTGCAGGGCTTCCCTGCAGCTCTGGGAAACAGCACACAAGGCCAGACATATGGTCTGTGCATTCTGAAATCTTGTAGCCTCCGAAGAGCTGAGCAGACCTGATCTCAGAGCAGTGGCTTAGTCCAACACTGCACTTGAGGAAGAGGCGGAAAGGAGAGGGTTATAAGTGAAGTGACTGATGGAAAGAGCCAATAAGAATGCCCTCCCTTACCCCTTGAATCCTGCTCTAAAAGACCAAGGGAGGGGATTATTCTAATGATCTGCCTCTTATCCAAAGGGAGACCAATTTCAAGGGGAAACCAAATAGATTTATTCAGGTCAAAGGAGTACCCACCAGCTGGTGATCACATTACATATTTATGTCCAGCTGGGGGATTCCCCTGATTATTACTGGGTTTTTTTAAATGCCCATCCATCCAGAGGCTGGAAGGAAACATTTCTCAGAGCATATTACAGTTGGTGGTGACTGTCTCTGTGAACCTGGATGGTGGAAGTGCCCTGCCCCTGGCTTAGATTTTGGGTGGCAGATTTGATGCAAGTTTTAGAAGCTTTTCCAACCCACATATGTGGGAGATTTTGGCATCCTCCCCCTCCCCCAGTCACAACTCCCAGCTTCATCCCGCTAATGAGTTAGGAGTCAACCCTTAATTTAGGAAACAGGGGACTGAAGGGGTTGATTCAACAATCAGTTTCCTTCTAATGCAAGTAATCCTGATCTTTTGCTTCATCTTCCAATCAATGTTTGGCATGGACAGCTCAGCTAGATGCCTGGGTTTTCAAAGAGACAGTGGGCATGTTACAGGCTATGATTTGGGAGCTTTGTCGCTCTTGCCACAGGGGTTCTAAGCAGTGTCCCCTGTAAGCAGTGTGAATCAAATGCTGCTGAGCTGATTAGCAGAGCTCCCACATCTCGGTTTTGTGTTTCTATTGGTGGTGCACATTCACACATGCTTCAGTGCATATAATAAAATTTATTTCACACATGGATGGGGGAAAATCCACACATGGATGGAAAAGATTAGAGGAAACATTGGTTTTAAGATACAGGATATGCTGCCCCACATGTCCACTCAGCAGCAGGAAAAGGGGGTGTTAGAGGTTCAGGCCTGGGTACCTGCACAATACCTACATTGGGAAATATGTGGATCCTGGCCTTATAGAATCCTAGAATTGGAAGAGACCTTGAGAAGTCATCAAGTCCAGTCCCCTGCCCTTATGGCAGAACCAAGCACTGTCTAGATCATCCCTGAGAGATGTCTATCTAACCTGCTCTTAAATATCTCCAGAGATGGAGATTCCACAACCTCCATAGGGAATTTATTCCAGTGTTTAACCACCCTGATAGGAAATTTTTCCTAATGTCCAACATCAACCTCCCTTGCTGCAATTTAAGCCCATTGCTTCTTGTCCTATCCTCAGAGGCCAAGGAGAACAATTTCTCTCCCTCCTCCTTGTAGAACCCTTTTTGATACTTGAAAACCACTATCATGTCCCCCTCAGTCTTCTCTTTTCTAAACTAAACAATTCTTTCAGTCTTCCCACATAGGTCATGTTCTCTAGACCAGTATTTCCCAAATAGTGCTCCGCAGAACCCCGAAAGTAAGTGAAAGTAAGGGTTCTGTGAGAACCTGATCACTTCTCCCCCAACCTGAGCCGTTTTTTTTGGGGGGGGGGGGTGGTGGAGAGAGTTGACCAGTTTCCCCCGTCCTTTTTTTTAAAAAAAAATTTTTTTAAGGGTTCCGTGGCCAAATAAAATTGGGAAACACTGCTCTAGACCTTTTATCATTTTTGTTGCTTTTTTCTGGACCCTCTTCAATTTCTCCACATCTTTCTTGAAATGTAGTGCCTAGAACTGGATACAATACTCCAACTGAGGCCTAACCAGCACAGAGTAGAGCGGAAGAATGACTTCCCGTGTTTTGCTCACAACACTCCTGTTAATGCATCCCAGAATCATGTTTGCTTTTTTTTGCAACAGTGTCACACTGTTGTGTCTCATTTAGCTTGTGGTCAACTCTGACCCCTAGATCTCTTTCTGCAGTACTCCTTCCTAGACAGTCGCTGCGGGTATCAGGTTCACATCAGTTGCAGTGCTGGAGTCCATGACCCTGATTCATGAGTCTGTCCAAACTGTGCTTGATTTAGGACTAAGTGGGGTGATTTTATGACACCTTTAGACTCGCCCAGTCCCATGGTTCAGTCCGGAACAAGCCAGAGCAGCCCTGGGACCCAAGAGAGTGTTGCAAACACTGCACATCAGTGGATTGCAGCAGGGCTCTGCCCACCATGTCACTTGGGTCAGAGGAAGGAGGATCAGAATGGGGCCCTACAGAGCCAGCTGTTTGGTCTCCATGCCAGGCAGGAATGTCACTTACACCTAGTGAAACCTCGGTGTCCCTATTAGGGTAGGGCTGCAGCTGTGCCTGAAAAGAAGGGATCTGACTCTAGGATTTACTCTTCAGGCAGGGCCCAAGAACATGATCAGCACACACCAAACAACACTGGCAAGGTCAAGCTGTACCCTATACACAAGGGGGTTTTCTCTCCACCTGACTGCATTTCTCTCCTGCTTCTCTGTGGGCTGCTGGGCTGTCTTGGTCTCACCCCATCACACCAGGGCTGGTGCTCTAAGGTCCTCCCTTCTCTGCAACACCGGTCCTGGCATGGTTAGGGCCTGAGGACTAGAATGCCACTTGACCCTTTTGTCACAGCTTTGTCTGCTTAGCTCAAAAGACAGGCAGGCTTGGCTCCCTCAGCAACAGACTCCAGAAGTAGCTCAGAGCTGGGTGGGTGGTTGTGCATGGTGGCCTTTCAGTAGCACATAGGGACACTCATCAAGGCTCAAGCTCTGTAGAGACCTGGAGTAAAGACAGACCGACAGTCCCTGAGCATTTGAGACAACATTTCTGTCTCCAGGACAGACAGATGCAGCACAACAGGGGGACAAAACAGCCTCATGGCATGGCTAGGAAGAGGAAGTAACAAAAGAAATGGCTGTGAAAGCTGACATCTCAGCTCATCATTTGCCTTCCCAGTGTCAGGTGGGGTGAGCATCGCAGCAGAAAGAAGTATTAAGGGAGGGATTAATGAAAGCCTTGACCAGGCAGTAGTAATTCCACTGGGGCTCAATCATCTCTTATAAATGCAGCTGGGATAATACTGAAATATTTATGGATTTCCTTTTTGCTCCCGGGAGCTGATTTTGTATCAAAATAACTAAGCCGCTTAGGGGTGATTGTTTTTACCAGTATAACTAAATCAATATGACCCCTAGTGTTGATGTGCTTGTACCAATATATAAATGCCTTGAACCAGGAAAACTTGTTCTTCTTCCCATACAGAAAGTTAGCATAAGCACATTTATACCAGTAGAACTATGCCCAAACAAGAGGAGTTGTACTGCTTTAACTAAATCAGTCTAAACAGCACGACTATTGTGGCTAGACCAGACCCAAAGATCACAAAAATAAAAATCCATTGTACTTCAACAGCGCCCTCTATCTGTGGATCTGAA